TGGCGATGTCATCCCAGGCCACTTCGTGTGGGTAATAGTTAAGGGTACAGCGTAAGAATACACTCGGCCCCCTCTTCTTCAGAGCGAAGCTCTGCCGGCTGTGATCTGAGACTAACGACCACAGGGTCACTCCCTGATCAGCGCACATCCTTGGGTTACCGCGTCTAGGGGACGCACACACAAAGGATTTTGCAATATATTTACTTTGGAGAAGTACCTTTGTTATCTCTTCAGAGTCTCCTCCGGACAGCCCGTGGGGTGTGTATGCACGCGTGCTTTTGTAAGCGCTTGCCTGAGCGTGTTTGTGTGTGTGCTGTACTCGATTGGATTGTGTGTCATTGTGGATGGTAGCAAGAACGCTTTAGCACACTATGCACCCTTCTGTTTTCTAGTGTACAGCACAGCGTGGCTCACCTCTGTCGGCAGGTTTCCGGAGGTGCAGAGTACACACGCACACATATAATCACACATATGAACACAAGTGTAAATATATGCCCGCGCACACATGCATATACATATTTCTCTTCCCTCTCCTCTGCTTCTTCATCCATTTCCACACACTTATGTATGAAGACACACCTGAAGCATCATATACTTCATACATAAAAACATATGTGTATAAGCATACACACACATTTGAACACATACACTTGAGTACATACACAGATTGATAAATGTTCACGTATGCATGCATACACACTCATAAAACCGTGTACACACACACTAGACACATGTAAGGGAGAATGTATACTTACCTATGTGTGTGTGAATTTGCACCCATTCATGTCTACAGACCTATATATATGTACTGAAATACACATGTACACAGACATATCCATGCACACATATGCACATAAGCATGTGTGTGTGCACACTTGTCCAAGCATATTTATATAGAGACACACATATCGTGCACTGTCCATTCATAGATATGCACATAGACAATGTGTGTGCTTACCAACCCAGGCATGTTCGATGTACATCTATACGTGCGTGCGCACACCTATCCATGCATGGCAATATATATAGACACAGGCCTGCATATGCGCGTGAACACCCTTGGCTTTGCATTCCCCTTCGTCTCGGGCAAAGGCTTCATTTTCTTCACTTCATTGCAGTTGCTCTTCATGTTCTGGCGAAATTTATCCAGGTGCAGCATAGATTCTTTGCCTTTCCGTGCACTGGATGTCAGAGGCTGAGAGACATGCAATTGTGGAAGAATTCCCATCATGCTCAGAGGCTGCTTCTGACCACTCTGACAGGTAGGGGACAGACAACAAAAGGCTCAATATAAAGCCTCTGAGAATTGACAGCCATGGTGAGTGACTGTCACAAGGGCCACCAGAATAAATCCTTGGCAGCTCCCAAAACACCTTCCACAGCAAGCTCTGCTTGAGGAGTAAGAAAAGCACAGGGGACAAGTAGGGTGTTGTTCTTACTGGAAAGCAAACAAGAGCCTGCTGACAAAGACAAACTGGGAAACACTCTGACAGAGCTGGCCAAGGTCAGGGGAGGACCATAGCATCGCATTGGGGAAATATCAGTAGCATTTTGACAGCCTAATAGCAGGGAAGGAATTGTCTTTGCAACAACTCCGAAGGTTAAATTTCTAAAGAACTGCGACACCGTGAGGGGAATGTTGGTTTCAATTGCTTGTAATAGCATCCTTGACCAAGACCCAGCACACAGCATAGCCTTCCCATTGTTTTTGATGAGAATTATCACGCACATGTAAAGGCTGAAGATCTTTACATTGAAAGCATGTCCACCCGGGACCTAAAATCTGCTGCTACTGCCTCTTTGCTGTGCTGCACATCCAACCCTGTATCCATTGTTCTGTTTTCACAACAACAACTTTCAAGTTGTGGATCCATTCCACTCTTCATCCCAGAGACTCAGCATCAGCTACAGACAAAGATTAATGTTTCTCTCTCCTAAATACAGAAGTTATCTCTGTGTGTATGTGTATACATATGTGTTTGTGGGAGAGCTTAAACATGTGTGCCTGCAGGAGTGCATGCACATGTATGTGTGGAGGCCAGAGGAAAACCTCTGGTCTCATTCCTCTACAGGCCTTGTCAGTTTTGTTCTTCTGAGACCTGGAGTTCCCTGGCATGGCTGGGCTGGCTGGCCATCAAGCTCCAGAATCCCTGCTGTCTCTACCTCCCCAGCACAACTAGGTTTTTTGTTTGTTTGTTTGTTTGTTTGTTTGTTTGTTTTTAGTGTGGGTTTAAAAATGTGGGGGTGGGTCTCATAGCTCATGCTTACACTATAAGCTCTTTACCTAAACTGAGACATCTCTACATCCCCTGGAAGTTATTTGCACATAAAGATTAAGAAAGCATGGTGAGTTTGAGGAAGAGATGAACAGGCAGAAATGGGGACCATCCAGGGATAGGTTGGATGATCCTTGGTGGTGGGTTCATGTTATTGTATGTCTGTCTAAACGCATGACACCAAGATGAATCCCAAGGTCATTGTAGGTACATCAGCTGTACGAACTACCATGATTCCATGTGTTAAAGCTTTTGTCCCAACAGTGATGCCATGAGGACATATTTGTGGATGTTTAGGGGGTGGGAATGTGTGAAAGGTACTTAAGCCATTGAAGGTAGCTCCTCAAAGGAAATTACGAAATATCTTATTCGTCTTTTCTCCTCCCCTCATCCTCTTCTTCCTCCCACTCCTCCTCGTCCTCTTCTTCCTCTTTGCTCTGAGAAGAGTGGTTTGCTCTGCCACATACCCCCACCATGTTCCTACAGAAGCATTAAGCAGCTTGAACCACAATCTCCAAAATCAACCTCGCCTGTTCACAAGTTAGTTTCCCCAGGTATTTTGTTGTAGTAATACAAAGCTTACTAATGTACAAATGTCCCACTGTGTACAGGATGTTGATAATAAGGGAGGCTATGAGCTTAAAACTTCGATTTAAAAAAACAAAGTTTATTCAAGACAATTTTACTTAGGGCATACAAAAGAGATCTAACAGAGCACTGGCAGACTGGCATTTCAGTGGCCAACTCAGCTTGTACCCAAGGGTTTTTCTCACCTGGCATCTATGCCATTCCTCCATGGTAGAATTCTCATTTTCCTTTGGATAAATTATCTACTTTCTTTCACATTTCACATAGTTTGGGAAGAATTGATCCTTTGTTTTGATTCCGTCACTAGACATAAAAGCCATGCTTGTGACCCGTTGTATTGACTCTATTGCTGAACACAGGAACTGTGCATTTCCAGCCCATTTTTGTTGACAACAGAAATTCATCTGAAAGTGGTGATTTGGGCTGAGATGAGCTCCCAGCCAGGCTAGAACCGAGAGAGCTTTCCCTGGGACTTTTGCTGAAATCCTCCTTCAGTTCAGTTATTAGACCAGCAGGGCAGACCCAGGGGTGCTAGCATCTACCCCTTCATTAGCTGTAAGCACCCACTAAAAATGTGGTTAATCCTAGGAAAGCAGAGTCTGCTTATGGGAAGAGACAAGGACCTACCGGGCTCTAATCAGGCAGATTTCTGTACTTTCAGTGATGAGAATCCATGAATCTCTTATAAAATTGGACCAGCTAAAGCTGTTGGAGCTTTTCTCTAGCAATCCCATCAAGAGGGTCCTAAGGCATGCTCAGTCCTTTGGGAATTGAGCAGGGTTCAAAGCTTTGTCTGATGGTGACACAGGGCACACTGCAGTTAGACCCTGCTTTAAAGAGTCATAAGTAAAGCTGTGTGCCCTGGAAAGGTGGTGATCTGAACCCAGAAGGACAGGTGACAGGCAACCTCCTTGTGGTAACATGAGGTGAGGAATGCCATAGAGGAGTGTCTGGGTGAGGGAGAAAGAGGACATACAGTCAGGAAAGGAGTCCAGATTGAGTGAGCCTTAAGAGGGTCTTCAAAATTAAGGAGAAACCAGATGGTGAGTGACACCGTGGTGTGAGATGTGAGATGAGAGGGCAAGGCAGGCCACCCAAGTGGGCTTAGACAGCCTCCCACCCAGGATGATCCCAGGCACCAAATCCACAATCCATCCATCCATCCACCCATCCATCTACCCATCTACCCACCCATCCATCCATCCATCCATCCACCCACCCATTCATCCACCCACCCATCCATCTACCCATCCATCCATCCATCCATCCATCCACCCATCTATCCATCCATCCACCTACCCATCCATCCATCCATTGCTCCGTCCGTTCATCTCCTCCTCTGCTTTCCTTGACAAAACAAGTGTTTAAAAATACAAACTTAATCATACAATCACCTGCCCTCCTTGAAAAGAGGAGTAAAACTCCAACCACTCACGTGGTCAACAAAGTCCTGCCCACTTACTGTTTACAATAAGCACCTTGTATCACCTGTAGCCTGGGCCTCTGCTTCCCTAGAGCCCTGCCTACTCTCATGCCAAGACCTTTGCTCTTCTTTCCAACCCTCACCCCTAACCTCATATTCCTTTATCTCAGTTGCCCTTACTTAGCCTTCACATAGCCACTCAAATGTCACTTTCTCAGAAAAGTCCTCCCTGAATGCCATACCATATAACAACTTCCACTGCCTTGTCTCATTTAACTTGTTCTTCATAATCCTTACCCAAGGCTGTGTGTGTGTGTGTGTGTGTGTGTGTATGTATGTATGTGTGTATGTGTGTATGTGTGTATATGTTTATGTGGTATGCATGTGTGTATGTGGTGTGTGTAGGTATGTGTATATATGGTGTGTGTATGTATGTGTGTATGTATGTCTGTTTATACAGTAATGTGTGCATGTATGTGGTGTGTGTGTTGTGTGTGTTGTATGTGTGTTGTGATTCATGTTCATCTCTTGTGATCAAGTTTAAGATCCAGCAAATCAGAGAACTTTCTCACTTTCTTAAACAGTTGAATGTTCGGGACCCATTATGGTGGCCACCATACACACTTCTGAGCTGCTATAATCCCCACCTCTCCATGCTGTGTTCCCAGCTCTAAGTAAAGAGTTAGTTGTGACTTGCTGTTTCTGTCCTTTAGATCTAGCTCCATCTACCAAAACTGGAGAAATGGAGTTTGGAAGGAGAAGGCCAAAGGCTCTCAGTAACTTGAAGGCAGCACACTTCCTCAGGAATGAAGAAGGGGCAGCATCTCGGCCTCACTGGTGGTTGCTCTCCAGGCTTGCCTACATTTGGGAGCTCAGCTCCTGCTCTGACATTATGTCTATATATCTACTTCACTCACTTGTGGATTCACTCAGGGATTATTTCTGGACTCTTGTTCTTTGATACTTCCCTGAGAATTCAAGTGAAGACAAAACAGACAGAGACACCTGAGGACACACAAGGGCTGCATGCCAGAGAAACAGTTCTGCCATGTGCCTGTCCTTGCACCGCCTGAGCTCCTCAGTAACCTCAGCATACACTCTAATGTCAGATCATCTTGGGCCAACTCCTACTCAGGTGGTCTCCACCAAGTTGCTAAGCTTCTCTAAGCCTCAGTTTTCCTGTCTGTGGAATGGAGCTCAACATGACCCTCTTTTACTGTGATTATAAGGCTCACTTATCAAACAGATGCCTGTTAATAAACTCTCAGCATATGAACAGTCTGGCTGTAATGCACATCTGTGCATCCTCAGCAAGACCAGTTACACAGGTCCCTCACCAGTGTGGTTACCCAAGGCCCCACTCCTAAAGGAATCCCACACTGAGTTCAAAGCTTTGCTGTTGACATTCGAAATACCTAATCAGTTCTGCGTGTCCGCTGTCCCATTTCCTTTCGCACCAGGCTCTGACCAGCACACGTGAAGAGCTGCGCAAACTCTGCTGAAAGCAAGAAGGGGTAGATGACTCCAGCCTTTTGCATCAGCTCACACGTGTTCTTTATAGCCAGCCAAAAGGATGAGCTTTGGAGCAAAATTCTACCTTCATGAGGTTGTTTGTTTGTTTGTTTGTTTGTTAAGGGACAGGGCCTAACTACATAAGCCAGGCAGACCTTCAACCCGTGATTCTTCTACCTCAGCCTCTCCGGTGCTGGGATTATAGATGTACTCCCCACATTCAACTCAAGTAGACTGCGTGACTCCACCATACCTCTTCCCTAAGACCAAATCAAGCCAGACACAAACCCTAAAACACATTCCCATGCAAACACACGTTTTCCAAGAAGCAGAGTCTAAACAGCCAGCTAGTGGTAGACAGTAACTCCCCTGCTGGGCTTGCATCTAACCTCCTTCCACCACACTCCTGTTCTCCCTGCTCAGTATCTAGGGGACAACAGAATTCCTGCTTTTCTTCATCCCATTTCACAGATGGAGCACAATTAGGTCCTTCAATAGCCCCCAATGGAGCGCAGTTCCTCAGCCCAGCCAGGTTCTATAACAGCTTTCTATTAATGGGCCTTGGAATTTGAACCAGTTTGGAAGTGTCTCAGCAAATATGATCATTGCATCCTCAGTCTGAGGCTATGTCCCCAAATCCAGCACTGACCACACTGCAAAGACAAAGATAAACTCCTTCTCTGCAGCCCCGGCTAGTGGGTGTTGCAGATTTCACTCTTCCCATGAGTTTTGACTCTGCAATGTGTGGGTGCTGTGTCAAGCTGTGGATGCATCAGAACCTCACAGACTAAGGCCTTGACCTTCCAAGAGGGGAGTGAGACAAGAAACAAGACAAGTCAGATCCTCTATGGTCGGATGACGGTGCTAACCCTTCAGGGAGGAGGACACAGGGAGGGCAAGATTTGGGGTGAAGGATAATTGCGATGTCAATCTTAAATAGGATAGACAGTCAGTGAGAAGCAGACATACAAGGGAGCAGAGACATGGAGAGGAGGCAGGCCGCACAGCCTGCCTATGCGAAAGCTCTGGGGCTTTAGCCACTATTCACAGTTGCCAAGCCGTGTACCCCCAGTTTCCCATCTTAATGCAGTGCCACCTGCAGGCCAACCCCATCTGCAGGTTTACAGCAATTACGCGTTGAGCTTTTATAGCAGTTAGGGGCTGCTTTATTTAGCATCTTGGGGTTTTGCTTTGCTTTTTCGATTTTTTTTACAGGAAGGATGGTCACATTTAAAATCACCATAGGAAAGAAGAGCGGAGTCTTTGTAGCCAAGGATGCCTTTGTGTTTATGATCCTCCTAACCTCATTTCCCAGGTACTGGGACTACAGACTTGAACCACTGGGCCAGGCCTTATGTGCCAGTTGGTGGTCCAAGCCAGAGCCTCAGGTTCAGTTCACAAGCACTATGCCAATGAAGCTACATCCTACCCTCAAGAGAAGATTGTGTGTGTACTTCCCCCAAAAGAACTAACACGTGCTTAAGGTGACAGGTATGCTAATTACACTGATTTGGTCATTGCACACCAAATACAGGAATCCAGATATCCCATTATACCCTACAGAAATGTGCCTGATGATATGCGTCTATCGAAAAGAAAAAAATAAAACAAAAAGTTAGACAGCAAGAGAGGTCACAATAATTTTTTTTTAAGTATCTAATGGAGCTTGAAATATCAGACCGGGCTACAGTGTAATAACCTGTCCTTTTAGGGGGCTGGGCGCTTGTACACCACACACCCAGCTGAGGCCAGCAGATCCCTTTCAAGTTTAGTTCTCCCGCCGTCCTCTCCTTCCCTCACTGCCCTGGGGAGCCCCTAATAGAGATGGGGACAGTGGGCTCTTGCTGGAGAGGCAGAAGCAGCTCAGCCCGTTCCTCTTCTTAGGAACAGATGTTAGGGGGCTCTTTAAGGGGGTGAGCTCTCCAACAGCCTACAGCCGGGTGACATGCCCCTCTCTTGCATCTGTTTCAGCTTGCTCCTGGAAAGCCTGGCCTCTGTGCTCCTGCAGTGCCTCTGACACACACACACACACACACACACACACACACACACACACACACACA